AATCAACACAACTTGACGTAGAGACATGATTGGCTAAAAAATACAACGGTTTTTGATACATCGGAAAATCAACCAAAAATCGGAGACTGGGCGAAACGCTCAAGGTCGCAGAGGTATAGGGAATCCCATTGCGAAAGCAACGGAACGATTGTAATATCATGGGGAACTCCGTTCCCATGACAAAATACTTGTGCACTAGTCGGATTGCATTTTGCAAGAAGGAACCAGGAGGATTGCCATGTTGCTAAGATTCTGCGACTTCACCCTTAATAAAACTACTGTAATCATGCAAAAATATGAAATTTACATGGTAAAATTGAGGAGTTAGGTGCAAAAGGGGCGTTATTGACAAAATCGCGTTTTGAGTTATTCGTGTTCAAAGTTTGTTGTTGTACAAATGGAATGTATGTTTAAAGATATGGAAATAATGTGAAAAGTTTAAATATAGATCATTTTATCAAGTTTAAGTTTGTACAATTAGAAGCTCTGAATAATCGCGGGTTTTTTTTAAAATATGAGAAATACGAAAGTTCCAATGACGCCCCTTTTTAATTACTGTATCTTACTTTAAAATTACTTTAAAATTACTGTATCTCAGTGAATGTTTGACATATTAATATGAAAATTGGTACACCTACATTTTAGGATATGAGGATTCAGAAAAACCGGTCTCTGCAAAAGGGGCGTCATGGACCTTACGCCCCTTTTGCACCTAACTCCTCAATTGGTATAAATTTACAGTTTTTAGTGTGTGAAATAGAAGATATTTATAGATGACTGGGTTTTTCTTCCAAGACAAGAGAAGTTGCACAATCTTAGCAACATTGCAATGCTCTTGGTTCCTTTTTGCAGAATGCAGTCCTGTTTAAGGTAGCTAAATGGATTGCATTATTTGAAAAAAGGAACCAGGAGCATTGCAACGTTGCTAAGATTGAGCAACTTCTTTTGTCTTGGAAGGAAAACATGATTGTTTATTAACAGTCTCTATTTCACTCGCTAAAAACTGTACATTTAAGGCAAAAATTACCCTGAAAATTTCATATTTTTTCATGGTTTCAGTAATTTTATTGCAAAGGATGAAAATGCACAATCATCATTGCAATTCTTCTGGTTCCTTTTTGCAAAACGCAATCCAAATATCCATGGCCGAAAAGCAAAACCACGTGTCTCTGTTTGCCAAGTTAGTTCTTACCGTTCTTTGTTCTTTCTTTGGAAAACTAGTCAGGGTATTTTCTTGAAAACTGGCTTGATTTTCCTTATCTTTAAGCAGAATGTTCTGTATGATTCTTTAGCTGAAAAAATGACTTGTTGCTGATGAAAAACATAAAGAAGGAACAGGATTGGAACATCGATTTCGAGATCCGTGGTTTTGTACCTCGGCTATTGATATGTTAGATAAAATGCACACAAAATGGAACAGCTAAGATTACCTAGAATCAGCCTAAATACATTAGTTGACGTCTTCTTGGTACGTTCATTATATATAGGTAAAATATTAATAAGGAAACATATTGCAATGTTTAATATTATATCCTGTCAAAAGATCCATTTGACGGCATGCAGTCTTAAAGTTAATAGCTTGTTCTTTGAAACTACACAATGTGTAGCCTAGGTACGAGCGTTATCCAAGAAGGAAGTTCCCCCATGCAAAACCGACAAGGCCACAGCATGGAGGTTTCTTCGATGTTTGTCTTCCGTCGCGTTGGTAAGGCGCAATGATACAACTATTCGTACTCTCCGGAATGCGGGACGTATCATATTTCAATTGAAGGCGTTTTCAAATCTGCCAAGTTTCGATAACGGGACTGTCATGCCGCATCTAGTTCGGAGCAAAAGATCGATGGAATGACGGATCTTATGATATGAGTTGATACAACATTACTGCACAGGCACACATATCCTTGTTTCAAAATGTTGTGTACGGTTCTGCCATGATAAGGAAAAAAGCCGTATAATAATCTTGTTCTTGCCAAATTTCCCCATATGAAACATTCATTTTTGAGGTTTATGAATATCTCTAAGTATTTCTCAATATTCATGAGGAGTCTTTTACCTTGCGAACTAGTAAAGATGTATCGAAT